CGCCAATAAAAGAACACCCCTTTTTGGGACTTTGTCTCAAGAGGTTTGTCCCTTACACAATCGTCTGACCCTTTTTAATTTGTTAGCGACTAACCCGTGCGAAACAGAAGTAAAACCAGGAAAACCATATATCCAGCGGTACGACAACGAGGGGGAAGACTTCATATATCTCAGGTTTGTTTTCAAATCTTAAACTATACTTTCTAATAATTTTTTGTAATTTTTCTTATGTTTTGATGGTATCTTGTCAATTTTCTGAAAAGCTTTGTTTAATTTATATAAATTTTAGAGCTTAGAGTTACCCATTTGTTGATACATTACTACACACGCACACACAGTTTGGTTTTAATGGTTATCTCCTGAAGTATCATGTTTTTTCACAATATTATAAAGTTCTTAAACTATTATTTTCCGGTTTTGCCTATGATGTGTTTTTCCCTTGATCATAAAAGATAGATTGCTTGAGTGGTTGATATTTAGGGAACACTGGGTACTCGTTCTTTAACTAAGAAGAGCAAAGTGCAGTGTAATATGGGAGATAAAAGTCCCATTTACTTATGTTTGCTGTTACTAGAAAGACTCGAGACTTGCGCGTTGAATCGTGAGTTTGAGGAGGATGATGAAGTTACCTTCTCAGTTATTGGCCCTCACAGCATGCATCCATCTGGGTTCTTCCATGGTGAAAATGATCAGGATAAACTTGGAGATGATTCTGGGTGGTATCCTTCTTTTGCTGCTGCTTAACTGATACTTCTTATATTCATTAGTGTATAATTTACGCTTCTTTATATATTAACATTTTTTAAATGGATCAAAAATGGAAGTGTGTATTTTAGTATGTTTTTAGTTGTTTTTTCTTTATTTCTTTAACTATGATTTAAGTGATTCTTATGAAGAGAATATCGTGGGGACTGACTTAGAAAATGAGGATGATTTTATGAATTATGATTCTGAAGATGAAGATGAGGAGGCCGACTTTATTGATGATGATGGTCTTGGCATTTACCCACCTTCCCCTGTCCCCAACAGTGGAGGTAGTTTCTAGAAGTAACATGTTGTCTTGCATTCCAACTGCATATATTTGCCTCAAGCCAATCCATTTTAGCAAGTTCAACGTTTTGTTTGTTGACCAATTAAGAAGATCTTAATAATGGATTTTTAATTTTTATCAATAGATGAGGAAGAAAATCTTCCATGAGATGGTGGTGTGCTACTGTTCTGTAGTCTATTTGTGCCTTTCGTGGTCCTTTTTGATTTCTTCCCTTTAATTACTTCTTGATGCTTTTGTATAGTCTTGGAAATTGCATCACCATCAAGATAATGGACAATGTTGGCATGAGCCAGTTTTTCAATTTCTAAAGATTAAAATGTGGAAATGGGTACTTGAAAGATTATATACCAAATATATTCTATTGCACCAGTTTATTCTAAGTTGTACAACTTGAGTGTGACAATGGCCTTTTTATGCGACCTGGAAGTATATTTTTGATCAATTGACAAAGATAAACATAAACCAAGAAGTGAACAACTGGAAATCTGATTTTACATTATCCATGTCACGATAAATTTGCATGTACTTCTGTGGCTTACCCATTTCACTCTCTCTCAATATTTACTTCACCCTTATTTTTTTGTTTATCATAAAAGTGAGAATTGAAGAAATAGTGAACGATGAGAAATGATGCTAAAACAAAGAATAAGAATAAGAAGAAATGGGTAACAAAGGAGGCTCAGCAAACTGTCTTGGCAGATTCCAATGATGTAGAGCAGCTGCGATGGATGAGATGGAAAATTATTTGAAGACAACAGTGAGAAGTGAGTTTTGATATCTTAACATCTAGTCTTTTAGTTGTAAAAACACCAAAAGTATTCTTAATTAAACGTCGCAGATGCAAATCTTTAAATATTGTGTTTGTTGTTTGTGGACCAAGTTTTTGATCCAAAATAGCATGTCATTTCAAGAAGTTTCGAATGCTTAATAAGTTTTCATTTTGACAATTGGAGTATCTGAGGAAATTCCATTAGCTTCAACTTGTTATGCTACCTGCTTTCATTTTAAAACCCCCGACCAATGCTGGGTTATGAGGACCCTACTATCCTTGATCTAAGACACCTTGTCAATTGTTAGTATTCAGAATGCAATACTAACTCTTATTGTGCATGCAAAATACTTATTTTCTTATTGTTTTATGTGAACCATTCAGATCTCTTGCATCCTGAAATTGTTAAGAAAGTTTTAATTACATGTTTCAACTCATGACCTTGCTAAGAAAAGACTTCATGAGGTCGATATCTTCGACTGTTCTTTGTTTGGTCGAGAATTTGAGGTCAATAATTTGGTGCTTCAAAATGCTAAAAAGGCAAACACCTTCCAATCCAATAACCATATCTTGATCAGATGTTGCAACACCCACAATGACTAAGGTTTCGCACCACTTATGGCAGCACTCCAGAGCTACTCTAATTACAGAAACTTCTCAATGCACTTGAAATTATAATTAACACCACCATCTATTAGATCTACATTTACGTTACGTACTGGTTATTCATGGTTTTTCGAGTTTGATAAAATCAGTCATGAAACTTCTTTGCTCTATTTAGCATTTTACGATCAATGTCAGTTCCAATTATTAGAGAAGCACCAGGTTTTTTGCACCCTCTGCTTCAGAAATTAAACAATTAAGAAGATAATTCAAGTCCTTATGTGGTTCATATTTATTTCATTTTTAATTCGTGTGAGATTTATCATGTTCATCTGATCAAGCAACAATGGGACATGGTCTATTGTTTTGATCATCTAATAGTGTAAAATATGTGTTGCTAGATTAGTAGCAATCAACTGCATTTTAAAAAGAAATAGCAAATATATTATAAAATGAAAAAGAAAAAAGAAAGTCTTTATGGATTTTATATAGCCAGGGGATAAAAATAATGCACTGATGGATTTTTCATGTTTCATAAATATTTTTCTGCCGCATCAGCTTTTAGTAATTTAACCCATTGAGACGGACATTTATAGCTTAAGATGAAACAAAATGAAAGATTAGAGAGTAATCAAAATGAAATCATGATATAAGTTGGATGATAATCAATTTTTGTTAACCATGGAAGGTACTTATACAAAATACAAAAATTACTTAAGCGAGGTAATGCTTCAAAATTTCATTTTTGTGCATTGTGCTCAAATAAAAAATGCTAACTTAAATAACTTGTATAATTATGCATATTGGATGGTTCATTTAAAAGTTTAAATTGTTAGATAAATTGTTTTACTCCTTGGCCATTAATAAAAATCATAAAAATAAAAAAAATAAAAATAAAAATAAAAATTGAATGCATGTGCGATGCATGCTAAAGTGTACAGTTAAATAAATATGATTCCTCTAATAACTTATATTTAAATGAAAAGTTTAACGTGCTGTCAAAATGAATAGTTTAACTTATATGATTTTCATTTCTTCAAAATATATTTTTCTCTCTATTTTTTTCAACAATACATTTTTTAGTAAAATAATACTATACGTAAACTTTTTAATCACATATTATCCGTCAATCTACAATTTCAAAATGCTTTCTAACGCAAAAATTGGAGTTCAAACATACCCATATAATAACCAATGATGTTATTATCAAAGAATAGAAATCCCAAGGAAAGTGTCTGAACAAACTAAAAGTTCATTGGCAAGTGGATGGGAATTCTATATGCTGAACTTTATGAAAATTAAATAAATTGACTTGGTGTGAACCAACAATAATTGTCGGATTATTCCATTTGTACAGGACACATAGCATGAATCTGGTCATTCTTATACAAATATTTTTTGAAACCTTTATGTTATTACTTGTTAACATCTAGATTGGCAGAGTTGCGTGGGTCCCAAAAAGTTACGATATGATCTGTTGCTTTTTCGATCTATCATTTTATTAACACCCTTTGTTTTGAAATCATGCTCCTACATTAGGAAGAAATGCACCAGTCTCCAACTTTTTCGAACTATATTGTTGTAAATGATATAATTAAATTTGTAGTCAAAAAGTACTTATTAGAAAAGGAAAAAAAAAAAAAAAGAATTCCTTGATCACATTTGGAATTGTTCGAAATTTAATAATTTGAGATATTTTCTAGAAATTATTGTAGCAAAATCGTTTTAAAATGGGGCTATTTTGACATAATTTTGAGTGGAACTCGTTCATCTGTTTTAGAGGATTAAAGTTGATTCACGTTCTCCTTTGTGTGAAGGTCGAAATCATATTTTTACTTGTTAAAAATGATTTTTTGGTGAATGAGAATTTGAAATTTAAAATTTATTATTTGAAAGAGTTTATACATTGAAGGAAAACTGTTTTAATTTGTCTCAAATACGAAATTTATTAAGGTAAATACTAATTTATATATGGCTACACTTTTGAAGGATATAGTCATGTGTACTGTAACCATAGCCGATCCTGCTATGAGGCTATTGAGGCTGGGACATCAGGCCCAAAATCTAAGGGGACCTACTTTTGGAGTAAAAAATATATATATGTATGTATATGTATGTGTGTGTGTGTGTGTGTGTATATATATATATATATATA